CTCTATTGATGTTGATATTGATTTGTGTGTCAACACTTCATTGCTTTCATTACTGTAGTTCTGCAATATGATTTTTAAATAATTATTTTATGTTTGATACATTTGTTTTACTTTTTGCAACATTTTATTAATTTTTTGAGAATTTCATGAGATGTAATTTGAACATAATTCTCAACTTTCATTACCCTCCTCTTTATCCTCTTAACTCTTCTTACCAAACATTGGGATATTTTTCCCCTTTTTCAGCATTAAGTCCAATGTCTGTTGTTCATGTAGTCTCAGATCTGAGATGTAATCAAGCAATGAGAAGCCATATCACTGTAGGAAACTGACTCCCCCTTGCCAGGAACTAATCAGCTATAATTGGGGTTTCATATTTTCTACCCATACTTTGTGCTATATTTTTATCTGGTGGAGCCTACACAGTTTTGGGGCAGGCTGTCACAGTTGTTGTAAATTCTCATATTCATCTGTCCTTTTGTGTCCAGAAAACACTGATTCCTTGTCGGGGTCACTTCTTCCTTGTTTTTTTGGGGTTCGCGGATCAGACTCACGTTCTCCTCTGTTCTTTCTCCGGCTTTTCTAGGGATTCAGCAGTCAGCACTCACGGTCTCTCTCGTACTTGTTGTCCTTTCTCTGGCTTTTTACAGGGTTCAGTGGTACATTCTCTTTGTACTTCTTGTCCTTTTTCCAGTTTTTCTCGGGCTTCAGTGGTCAGCCCAACATTGGGAGCCATTGTGTTGGGGTCTGTGGCCCCAACATAGAAACTATTTTTCCCTAACTCAACCGGTACAGAGGCGCGAGAAATAACAATACACAGTTTACACAGTCATATGGGAAGGGCATCTTAGGCTTCATCCATTCCTCAAGATCTACCCTTGTTTATTCTTCAAAACACCTTTTATCCCCCAGAAGGATACTCATTAATATTATTTTTCCGGGGGATTCCCGGGACTATGGAAAACACCTGCACCTTAAGTCACCAGCTTTGGAATCAACACCTCTCCCCAGGCGATCTACATATGAACAAAAGAGAAGGAGCCATACATCTTGAGTCTTTGTCAGATGGCTAGGTTGTTTGGCAGGATTGCAGCTGCATTGAAAATTAAGCATGGCCAGAGAGCCTGACTGTAAATATTTTGTATGAAATTTGGGCCCACAATTCCTTGATGTTATTTATCACAGATGATTCTTACATTT